TGCCCTAAGGAATCACATTTACTAGCTGTTAAGAGAATCTTTAGATACCTTAAGGACACTCATAGTTTAGGACTTTGGTATCCTAGAGACTCTAGCTTTAGCTTGCATGCCTTTTCTGATGCGGATTATGGAGAATGCAAATTAGATAGAAAAAGCACCTCCGGTACTTGCCAATTCCTTGGAAATATGTTGATTTCTTGGTTTTCAAAGAAACAAAATTGTGTTGCATTATCTACCACTGAAGCGGAATACATTTCAGCCGGTAGTTGTTGTGCACAAGTTTTATGGATGAAACAATAACTTTTTGATTATGGAATTGAAGTAGGTACTACTCCTATTAAGTGTGACAATACTAGTTCTATTTGTCTCACTAAAAATCCCATCCAATACTCTAGAACTAAGCACATTGAAATAAGAAATCACTTCATTAGAGACCATGTCACTAAGGAAGATGTAGTTCTAGAATTTGTTGATACTTTGCATCAATTAGCGGATATCTTTACAAAGCCTTTAGACAAGGAAAGATTTTGGACACTTAGGAGAGAATTAGGTTTGAACAACCTATCTTCACTTAGTGTTTAAAATAATTTTAGCACTTTTAAGACTAAATGAAAAATGCTTATAATAGTAATTTTTGATTGCATTCATTGCTATTAGTTAGGGGGAGTTTATGATTCTTGATGAAAATTAACTTTATGTTCAAATATAGTTTAAAGATTAATTTGATTGTTTTAACATGATTAATTTTCAATATATGAGTTGCCAATACCACTAGAGAAAATTAATTTAGCATTTTGTGTGTTTAAAATCGGATTTTAGCATTTTTGGTGCAGAGGGAATCGATACCCCCCTTGAAGGGGAACGATTCCCCCTAGGGGAATTGATACCCCATGAGGGTTCTGGTTTTATCGGGCAGAACCCTTATATTTTGCTCAAACTCTATATTTTTCTTCCTTTGCCGCCTATCACTCTCTTCATCTCTCAAATCTCCACTTTGCCTCAAAACAAGATTTTTAATCGGAATTCTCTTCAAATATCATCTCCTAAACCTGCTAGCATCATTAAAATCGTGCAAACAACATCAAAATCCACTCAATCTCATCTTTCAAGGTAAATTTTTCTAAACTCTCAATTTTATTGATTTTGAATATAGGACTAGTTTCAATTAGTTCTAGATAGAAATAATGATCGGGCATTGATTATTAGTGTTTAGAAACTAAAATTTTACAACTAATTTCATCAAAATCTCACAAATTTTCTATTAATTTTTGAATTTTCGAAATAAAAAAACGAAAATCATTAATTAATTTTAAAATTTATGCTTTTTTATGTAGTTATGTTATTTACATGTAAACTATACATACTATGGTTTATCAAACATTATTTTCAATAGTTTTTCAAAACTTTGCCCATTAGGATTTTATTTTAACCTTGAAATATTGAGAACTCAATTGAGTTTTGGGATTGATTGAATTGCATACATGTGTTTTCTAAATTGCGGTTATCCATTCTATTCCGATTTCCTAAACCATGTCCAATCCTAAACATGCTAGGTTATCATCTAGTTGCTCAAACCGTCAATCCAACCCACCTTCAAATCCTCCACCTATCTCTCCAATTCTTAATCCTAATCCCATTGATCCAAAATTGACTATCCAAAACTCGTGCTTCAATCATCATGGTCTTAGAAATCATCGTTTTTTGTATTATCAATATTTTGACTCTTACAAAATTAGGGAAGAACGTATCCCATCTCTTCAGGCTATGATTGATATCAATTTTAGATATCTCCCTCTCCTGCGAGAGTGGAAATTTGATAAACTTTGTAACCTTGAACCTCAAGTCTTTCATCAACTTGTTCGTATCTTTTATTCTAATGCTGTTTGTATTAAAAATCAAGCTGAAACCAAAACAATAGCAACTCGTTCTTATCTTCTAGGACAATACTTTCATCTTGATTCAGCTTACATTGCTAATGCATTAGGATTAGATAATGATGGTTTATCTAATGAAAAACAAATTTTAGGTTCTCGTTATAAAAGAAGGGATAATGCGAGTGTCTTAGATCTTCATGACCGTTTTCTTCATCTAATGATCACTTGGTGGTTTCGACCATCCGGAGGTCGTTACTCTACTCTTCGTGCTTTAGATCTTTGGTGGTTACATTGTTTCCAAAACAATATTAAAATAAATCTTCCTGAGATTATTTTTGCTGAAATTGTTGAAACCGTAAACCAAGTTCCAAATAAGAAACTTTGTTCTTTTCTAGTTTACGGTTGCATTCTGAGTAATCTATTTTCTAAAGTCGGGCTTAGAGTTGGTCTAGATGCCTCTTTTCCCCTAAAGAAACAAATCAATATCCTTTCCTTAACGAGATCGGGATGGATTAAGGATAAGCAAACTGGTGAATGGGTTCGAAGCACTGAGCATACTCCGGAAGCTAGTTCTTCACAAGCTCCACCGGCAGCTGACGACGATCCTGATCTTGAACAATTAATGCGAGATATCGATGAAGCCGAAGATGAGCCTGAGCAGCCCGAGGAGCAAGCATAACAAACGGATCCAATGCCTCCATATTTTCAATCTTTTATGGAGACGTTCGATTTCTGATATGCTACCATAGATTCGCGCTTTACTTCTATAGAGTCTCATTTATCCACAATGGGAGCTCAACAATTGGAAATTCTCCAAAAGATGCGTGCAAACAATGAAGCAACCAACGCTCGTATTAATACACTCACTCATGAAATGACAGCTATGCGAGCTCATTTCCCTCATCCCGATCCTCCTACGGATGCTTGAACTTTGATTTGCTTTGCTTGTTTGGATTGAACTTGGATATTTGCATTATTCTTAAAACATTTTGAATGCTTTTGGATTGTTTATTTTTGGTTGTTCGAACTTATGTTTAATACATTTGATTTAGATTTCGTGTTTATTTTGCATCTTTAGACATATATGGCCAATTATCTATTACATGTTTATGAATATTGATTATGAAACTAATGGCTAACCTCTCTTTTGATTGTGATCTTAGCAGCTTAAGCTTTATATTAATAAATCAATTGGCTTACGTTTTTCAAAATTCTTGTTTAAAATGTTTTTATAGGGTCTTTTTTATTTAACAAAAAGGGGGAGAAAGTGTTAAAGTAAGGGGAGTAATATTTTTCAAAATCAAAATTCATTTTGAAATTAGAAAATCTTAAAATGTTTTGTTATATCAAAAAGGGGGATATTGTTGAAAACATTTTGATGTTTCGATATAACAAATTAAATTAAAAGAATTTTAATTTTGAAAATGATTTTTCTAAGCATATTCGATATATTAAATCGAATATCAAAATATTTCTCAAAGTATTTCAAAGTTTATTTTAAATCCTTACTAAAGTGTAAAATTAAGTTTTAATCTTAAAATAATTTCAAAACAATTTTACAAAGTATTTCGAACCGTTTCAAAGCCAAAAATTACAGTTTGTCCAGAGGGAACCGATTCCCCCCCAAGGGGTACCGATTCCTCCTGAATGGTTTTGCTCTGAGAAATTCCAGTATGCTCGGAGGGAACCGATTCGCCTCAGGGGGTATCGATTCCCCCCACTGTTCAACGGTCGAATATTTGAATTTTACACTTAGGGAACCGATTCCCCAGGAGGGGGTACCGATTCCCCCCACGCTCCAAGCAGAAATATTAATTGTTTTCACACTTAAACGGCGCCAATAACTTCATTAATGATCCCCAACGTTCAGAAGTGATTCAAGGTGTATTTAAACAAGCTTAGAAGCCATTGATCAACAACAAGAAACATCAAGCAACTAGAATCAAGAGAGAATCAAAGAGAAATCATCAAACCTCAAGTTTGAGCATTTCAAGCCTATTTTTCATTCAATATTCATTTTGCTTTTAAGAACACTTATTGTGCTCAATTATATTTATTCTTGAGTGTTCTTTCTTTGTTCTAGAATTGTGCAAACATCTTACATTGTGAGGTTTTCTTGTAAGTTTGCGAAATTTGTAATATTCTCTTTGAGAAAGAGTGTTCTCAAGAATTGGGGTATAATTCTTGAGGGAGTTGTAAGGTTATCTCTTTGGCCTCAAAAGAAAGAACAAATTAGTGAATTTGTTGGAAAATCCTTAGTGTGGATAGCTAAGGTATTGGATGTAGACTTTGTTGAGAAAGTTGAACCACTATAAATCGCTATGCAATTACTTTCAATTTTCTGCAAAAGCTTCCACCAAAATTTTAATTGCCAATTCACCCCCCTCTTGGCCAATTCCATCGATCGATTAACTCAACAAACCTCATAAATATAATTGTGAAATTCTAGTCGATCTAGAATACTTAAACACAAAAATCTCATAATTTTCTTACTTAATCTCCCAAAACCGGATTTTCACCTATGAGCTTATTTTGTTATCGTCCTATTATTTTCCTAAATCAATTTGATAAACTTTGGTTACATTATGAGTCGAAAGCGAATTTGTTACAAAAATTTATAACAAATCTAATCTCAACCTAGTTTCTTATTGACTGCTAACATTCATGGGCGCAATCGAATTTCTTACTACGATTAACAATATATTCAGCTTTTAGCTTATTTTGTTACCATCCTTATTTTGATGAACTCATTGCTAAACTCTAGTAACATTTTTGGTAGAAACAAAATTTGTTAAAGCAACTTATAACAAGCCCAATCTCAACTTACTTTTTTTTATTGAACACTAACAATCATGGGCTCAACCATATTTCTTATCACGATTGATAATATTTCCAGTTTCCAACTTATTTTATTATCGTCTTTATTTTGATAAACCCATTTATTAAACATTGATAACATTTTTGGTCGAATCCAGATTTATTAAAGCAACTTATAATAAACCCGATCTCAACTTACTTTCTTATCGAACGCTAACAATTATAGGCGTAACCAAATTTCTTACCACGATTGATAACATTTTCAACTTTCAACTTATTTTTGTTATCGTCCTTATTACTTTGAATCATATATCATCTGGATTCCATGTAAATTTTCCAGATATCGAAGTAAGAATCATTTTGCATATGATGTAACAAACTTTATTATTATTTTGTTATATTAAGTTTATGTTTGTTTGATTTGCTCCAAGTTTACTTTCATTTCTGATATGGAGACCTTTTTACACAGGTTAGACAATTAGTTGCAACTGCCATCGTTTTGAAAGGACTTGGTGCTATTTTATTTGTACTTGGTCATGGATTGGGAGCATTGTTCCTGGTTAGAATTTCATCTCTTTTCAGTTTTTATTTTGATTACATTCAAAGTTAAGAAGGATTTCGAAACTTCACTTTGCAGTTTCTTCTGATTCTGTTTTCATGTCTCCTTTAATGGTCATATCTTTTTCCATAGTTTGTCTACTTGCTGGTTAGCACTCCGCTTCTCTATGACTTCTTCAATTATAGTCCAGACGAGCCCCAATACAATGTTCTGCTCGGAGATTTCTTGCAGGTGTTTACAAATGCATACCTAAAGTTGTGTACCTAGGCATTATGATGCGAGTACTTCACTGATCTTTCTCTTTTAATCAATCACAGGGTGTTTAACCTTTTTCCATGAATGATCCTTATATGAATTAAAGTGTCTAGTTTCAATATTATAGGAAAATATCCAAATTATGTATTCAGTTCACGATGATAGTTGTAAACTCTTATTGTAATTTTGAACATTTTTACTTTTTTTTAATAATACTAGCAGTTTTTATTTAAAAAAATATTTATAAAATACTTTTAGGATTAATTATCAATTAATAATAATATTATATGTAATTTAAACTTATACAATTGTGTATTTATAATTTATATAACCAAACAGGACAATAATATGAATTAGGATATAATTGCATTAGAATTTTCAAATATGTATACGTAATTAGAATTTCAAATAATTACATGAGATTATAAATAATAAGATGGTGATTTTATTAATTTTTATACAATGACAATGTAATATTCAAACACACTCTTAATATACAACTTAAACTAAAAAATTAAATTGTATGTACGTATATATATTAAAGTTTAATTTGATTCGGTATTCAAATATCATGGTTAGGATTGGTAGAATATGCAACCAGTACGGACAGTTTACAGTGCTCTTTTTTTTTTATCGGAAATAAGATTTTATTAAAGATTAAAATATATAATCCTAAACCTAGGTTATAAGTTTCATTAAAAAAAATTAAACCTAATGAAGAAAACGAGTATTCTCCAAATATGGCATCCGCCGATCCCGGTGTTTGATGGACTGGTCCCATCCCGGTGGCAAATGGCATCCGCCGATCAGTCTTTACTTGGCATGAGAAATGGAGATGGTGAAAGTTACCCATACTACAGCCCAGAGTATCCGAATATGGCATGTGGCATCAATGACCACCGTATTCCGACCTTCGAATGGGCACTGAAAATAGGTAAACAGTGGAGTTTGTCTACAATTTTGAATGTTGCTTCTCTGATATAATAATTGATTCGAGGAAAATTGGATGGGGTCTAAGATTTGGAGTGAGTTTGTATTTTTCCCCCCCAAAGGAAAACATTTTGTAAAGGGTGTTCTTACGGCTGCCTTCTTTTTCTAGTTTTTATTAATCTTATTTTATATTTCTTTTAAGTAGTTCTTTGTTCCTGTTTAACGTATTTCTTTCCTTGAATGTTTTAAACAAGTGATTTCATCAGATAATATCATATTAGGTGTAATAATATGGTACATAGGTTTATATTGTGTTTTTTATTATTATGGGATGATCAGAATATATTATTTAATTAAGATATTTTTTAATCATAAACAATGCATATATTCTACAAATATAGTTCCTTAAACATACGATCTCAAGGAATGACAATATTCCTTTAAATCACTGAGGTAGTTTTAAATTTATAGGTTCAAAACTAGTCAATGAAATATTTAGACTTTTTTTTTATCTAATTGTACAGATGTGACATGATAATATTTTAATATTTTTTCAGTAATTTTATTAATTTTATTTATCTAATAAAAGGGTAACATGTGTCAACATAACTTGCAAAGTCTAGGACTAGTACTCACGTCTACCGGTTTGAACAGGACGAAGCTTAACCATTGGGTCAAATGAGGTTTTTGATACATTCGAGTCTTTCTAAACGAATTTTGATAGGCACCAGTAATCTTGTTTTTTTCTTGGATGATGTCCTGAATGCCATTTCTCCTTGGTCTTTGTCCAATTCTGGAAGCATATTATAAAATTTTGTGACATGATTGGTGATGACAAATAATAAAATTAGAAACCTTATTGCGCACTTACAAAATCCTCGCGAAACTCTCCAAGGAAAATTAAAGAAGTCACTCTACTCGTGCTTAGCACACACGAATTTCACTTTCACCCCCTTCTAATCTCTCAATTCTCTTTATCTTTTACCGCTCGATTCTCTTGTCCAAGTCTTTGAATAGAACTCACTCAAAACTTGTCAAACTTGTCTTTGTCGGCTGTAAACTCGAGGTTAAGATAGGGTACAATATAGCTGATATGGTATGCTTAGAAGAAATAGATGAATAGAAAAGGGGTTAACTTGCACGAAACAACTCACTTGTTCGAGCCAATCAAACCTGATTTCTTCTTTAAGCCTGGTTGTTTGCTTTGCACTTCATTAAACCCTTATTGTATTCTTTTCTTTTCTAAAATATTTTTTTTCTGTATTGAATCCTCTCTTTAGATGTTGAGGAATTTTTTCTCTTTCTTTTTCGTTTTGCACAAAAAACTTAAATTCACAAAGGATAGACACTTGATTCAACCAAAAACCTCTTATTACAATATAATAGAAGGACTCTTGGAAGAATGTTGTCCAAGATGTTTCTAATTGTTGTCCCGATCTTGAATGCAAGTAAGTCGAAGCCTCGTAACACTTGTTTTGATATGAAATGAAAAAATAGGCTAGGTTTTAAGTAAGGTAGGCGTGTAGGGTGATAAGGATTATATGAAAGAAAGAAGTAAAGGATAGTATGCTTTGGATATATGTTTGGGCCATATAGGACTTGTTTAGGAAGATTGTGAAGGAATGATGATTAAAAGGATGATTAAGATGGGTATAGATGATGGTGATGTTAAGGAAGATTTAAGATCAAAGTAGAACCAATACTATAAAAGAGTATTAATTCAAACCTTATAAGATCTTTAATCTAAGGACTATGACACTCTAATTAGAAAATCAGTAATCAATAATATCGAGAAATAGGGGTTGACCACAAGCAATGCTTGATAAGTCAAGAAGTTCAAACAAGAATGTTGAAAAGGCACCCTTAAAGGGTGAATAAATGGTCGACCATAGGTGAAAAGAAAGGAGCATCTTTGAACCAACATGGTGCTAAGTGATGAATCATCTTCCTTCATGTGTTTAGTGATGAATCATCTTCCTTCATGTTTTGTTGCTCATTTCTCTTGTTGAAAAGGGTCTTGTTTTGCTTGTACCTTTCATGAAATACCATCTTTATGAAGGGACATATATGGAGAATCATGTCCCTTGAATTGGTTTCTTTTCATGAAAAGGTGTGATTAAACATCGTGACCTTTAGAAACACCTTTGAGATGAAAATGTGTCTCTTTTACCTGCACCTTTTTGGAGTGAAAAAGCATAACTTCTGGAAACACTTTTTGGTGAAAAGACGTGACTTTTGAAGGCATCTTTTTGGAATAAAGAGGCATGACCTTTAGAGGGCCTTTTGGAGTGAGGAGACATGACTTTTGAGGGCACCGTTTTGTGAAAAGACATGACTCTTGAAGGCATCCTTTGCTGAAGCATCATGACTCTCGGAAAAACATCATTTGGTGAAGCAAAATGACTCTTAGAAAGGTATCATTTGGTGAAGCAACATAACTCTTCTCATTAAAGTGCACAATCCTTCGTTACATCATGTAATCGTTGGAGTGAAGAGATGTATCATTTCCCTTGCTAGCCGTTGGAATGAAGAGATGACTCTTCTCCCTTATAGCCGTTGGTAGCATAAAGAAGCATGACCTTTGGTTTGAAATTTGCACCTTTTATTTATCTTCTAGCAGTTGGAATGGTAAGGCACCTTTTAATCAACATAAACAACTATATAATATAAAGTAAGGGTAAATTACTAATTTAGTAATTGAACTTTATTTTCTCTCATATTTCATTCATTGTATTTTAGATCTTTTCAATTTTATCATTGAACTTAATATATTGGGTTTTTTGTCACTCAGATGTTTTTCTCATGAATGGCTTTATAAATGAATTGTTATATAAATGCAAAATGATGTTGTTTTGGTGATTTTTTTTAAAACGACGTTGTTTTAACGTTATTAACTATTTAACGTTGCAGTGACAAAAAATTTCAATGTATTAAGTTCAGTGAAATAGAAAACTTTTAAGTTCAGTGAGAAAAATAGGGGAGAGAGTAAAATTTAATGATGAAATTTGTAATTTACCCATAAAGTAAAGAACATAATATATATATATATATATATATATAGGAATGCACACCTAACCTAAGCAACATGCATCATATATATATATATGAAATGTATAACATAAGAAAGAATATTCAACCTAATATGCAACATATAATATAAGCAATAAATAAAGATGTGAAACTATATGTTATGTTATATATATATATATATATATAATATGCAATTCATAGCATATAATAAATGTAAATACATCATGATAGATTAATATGTAATATGCTATGACATGTATATTTGAACTTATACTAAGATGCTTATGTGTGCTCATAAATGAATATAATGCATATATGATATAATATAAGATAGAATTAAGAAGAATTCACTCTACTTTTACCCTTAACATCTTAAAAGGTGAAAGCAAAAATTTGATAAGTTATTTGCTAGACTGGATCACATCACGTCTCTTATGAAATTAGCTTTTTGACTAATATTGAATCGAGACCACTGGGACACAGTGGTGCGTGCTAAGTATGGAATAATTGATCCTACCCCGGCTAATATATCAAGGAGGGGAATGCTATAGGCTTTGGAAGGGTTTCACGTTGATTTGGGAGGAGGTTCAAGAGGGTTTGGTATGGAATTTAGGGAGCGGTGCCACGTTAGACTTTTGGCGAGACCGTTGGCTGAGTAATGTTGGTCTCTTGTGGGACATACGTAATCTCGATGGGGTGGTGGAGGATCGTAGGTGGCGGTCAGTTCCATGGTTAATGCCAATGGTGAATGGGATTGGGAGCAATTTAAGCACTCTATCCTCGATATTGTTTTGTCGTCTTTTGCGACTGTCAAGACTCCTTTGCGGTTGGATGGTCCGGACACACTGGGCTTGTTATGGGATTTTAACAGGAGGTTTATGTTGTAGAGTGCGTATAAAAAAATGAGAGAACATTGGCACTGAACCAACAACGCATATGTAGAGTTTAATCTCCAAGTATCGAAGGTTGCCTCAGGTGCATTTGTTATTATGACTAATCTGCCAGTGACGGATCTTAACAA